AAGAAAGAGATAATGGCAAAGTACGAAAGTGGAGTGCGTGTGTCTGAGCTGGTTAGGTTGTATAATAAACCCCAATCAACCATCTCTACTATAGTGACCAGGAAAACGGCAATCAAGGAAGCTGTTCTTGCAAAAGGTGCAACTGTGATTACGAAACAGCGACCGCAAGTGTTAGAAAATACTGAGAGATTATTATTGGTGTGGATAAATGAAAAACAGATAGCATCTCTCAAGCGATCATTTGTGAAAAGGCTAGGTAGTTGCATGACGATTTGGTAAAGAAATTGCCTGCAAATAGTGGTGATGCGAGTGAATTTAAGGCCAGCAAAGGTTAGTTTGAAAGATTTAAGAATCATAGTGGCATACATAGTGTGATTCAGCCTGGTAGCTGCCATGTCAGACCTTAAAAGCCTGAAAAATTGTGAAGGAATTCAGGTTACATGACAGTGAATGGCTGAAACCTGAAGCCATAGTGTTTAATTGCAACGAAACAGGCCTGTTTTGGAAGAAAATGCCAAGAAGGACCTACATTACTGAGGAGGAAAAGGCACTCCCAGGACATAAGCCTATGAAAGACAGGCTTACTCTGTTGATGTGTGCCAATGCTAGTGGTGATTGCAAAGTGAAGCCTTTATTGGTGTATCACTCTGAAACTCCCAGAGTGTTCAGGAAAAAAATGTCCTCAAGGCTAATTTGTGTGTGCTGTGGAGGGCAAACAGTAAGGCATGGGTCACTAGGGACTTTTTCTATGACTGGTTACACCAAGCATTTGCCCCCACTGAAAAATTACCTAACTGAAAAGAAATTAGACCTTAAGTGCCTCCTGGTATTAGACAATGCCCCTGGTCATCCTACAGACTTGTCAGAGCAACTTTCTGGGGACATGAGCTTCATTAAGGTCAAGTTTTTGCCTCCTAATACCACTCCTCTGATGCAGCCCATGGACCAGCAGGTCATTTCCAACTTGGAGAAACTGTACACAAAAGCTATGTTTCAAAAGTGCTTTATAGTGACCACAGAAACTCAACTGACTTAAAAGAGTTTTGGAAGGATCGCTTTAATATCCTCAATTGTATAAACCTGATAGGTACAGCTTGGGAGGGAGTGACTAAGAGGACCTTGAACTCTGCTTGGAAAAAAACTGGCCAGAATGTGTAGACAAAAGGGATTTTGAAGGATTTGAGGCTAACCCTGAGAATCCTATGCCAGTTGAGGAATCCATTGTGGCATTGGGGAAGTCCTTGGGGTTGGAGGTTAGTGGGGAGGATGTGGAAGAGTTGGTGGAGGAGGACAGTGAAGAACTAACCACTGATGAGCTGCTAGATCATCTTGAACAGCAAGAGTGCAGACCTGAGGAAACTGCTTCGGAGGAGGGGATAGAGAAATTGAAGAAGTTGCCTACTTCAAAGATTAAGGAAATGTGTGCAATGTGGCTTAAAGTGCAAACCTTTTTTGATGACAATCACCCTAACACAGCTATTGCAAGCCGTGCTGGTGACTATTACATTAACAATGTTGTGAAACTCTTTAGGGATGTCATAAAGGAACGGGAGGTACAGGCCACTATGGACAGATATGTTGTGCGACAGAAATCCAGTGACTCTGAAGCTGGTCCTAGTGGCATTAAAAGAAGAAGGGAAGTAACCCCGGAAAAGGACTTGCTACCTCAAGTCCTAATGGAAGGGGATTCCCCTTCTAAACACTAACACCTCTCCCTTCCTCCCATCCCATCAATCACCAGATCTTCATTAAAGGTAAGTGTCAATTATTTTATTGTTATTATTCTATTGCATTAAACTTAATATTCCATGTAGTAAAATTTTTTTTTTTCATACTTTTGGGTGTCTTGCATGGATTAATTTGATTTCCATTATTTCTTATGAAGAAAATTGATTCGGTTTTCGATATTATCGGTATTCGATGAGCTCTCAGGAACGGATTAATATCAAATACCGGGGGTCCACTGTACCTGGAATATACCTGGAGAGGGTTTTGGGGGTCAACGCCCCCACAGCTCAGTCTGATAATGACAAAAAAAAAATAATTTAGGGGAAATTCCAACAGCAGAATGCTCTTCACAACAAAGACAACATAATGAACTAACGGGGAGGCCATTGTCCGTTAAATAAGAACATTAACCCTTTGGGGGTCGCCAGGCCCTCTCAAAATTATTTTTTCTTCTGAAAAGATAGAGAATCTTTTCCCATCATAATGACACCGAAAGTATGAAATTTGATGGAAAACTTACGGAATTATGCTCTCGCGAAGTTAGTGGTCTCGAAGATGTTCACGCATTGGCAATTTTGCCCACTTTAAGCCCTATTTTCGGCCAATTCCAGTGTACTAGTTGACAAAAATCATAACGATTTCGCTAGAACTCCGTTTTTTCTATCGAATGAGTAAAAGAATGCACCCATTTACCGATTTCTACTACCCAATAAAGTGGTCAGAATTTAGCAATTTTGCCAATTTCACACAAATTTCAAAAGACGCCAATTTCCAAATAAGGTCCAGAATAAACAAGAAAGACATTCCTGGCACTAAAATAACATTTCCTCTGTTCATTAGTCACATCCCCAGGCCCCTCTTACATTTCTTTTGCTTTCCACTTTGATTTTTCTCACAAAAAAAAAAAAGATTTACTGTTATGCAGACTACTGCATTAGTGTAGAATTGGTATAAATAATATCGGCGCACTTGTGAAAGAATATTAGACTCACCAGTTGACGTGTACTGGAAGCTTGGCATGATTTGTTTACTTTTGAACTTCGGTAAAAATCGAACATTTCTGCTACTTTGAGCTCAATTTCAAGGTACTTTTCATTGTAAAACCAGTCAGAATCATCTCAATTTCTGTAATAGTACGTCTTCCATTCTATACAATGAATCCAGGAAAACTAGAATACAACAATAAATACCATACGAAAATACAGTGCAAAGTCGCTGTTTTAAACCAAAAACACGGTCAAAGTTTTTTTTTTCTCATTACGCACTGTGTGCTGCAGGATTTTTTTTTATACTGTGCACACTGACCACAGACCCATTCTTTCATATGTAGACTACCAGCTTTCTCTTGCTAAATTTGAGGGCGCTAGAATTTATGCGTACTAGTACGTCAAAAACCCTGGTGCGTAAGCTGTACTAGTATGGCCGAAATCCCGAAAGGGCTAAAAAAGAATAACAAAAAATGCACTAAAATACTCTACTGTATACTTAAGACAGTACTGACAAAACTGTTTATTGTTGTACCGCAATAAACACTGAAAATAAAGGAGTTATAAATACAATTTAACCCTTTGACTGTCGCAAGCCCATTTCTGAAACTGTCATTCTAGGTCGCAAAACATTAAAAAAAAAAATTATTTTCTTACCAAAATGTTAGGATTATTTTACTGAGCATTTTAAGCCTAATTTTTTTTTTTTTTCCCCATCAGTACTTACCGAGATACAGAGGACAAAGTTGGCAGAAAATGAGCCGCGTATGGCAACAGCGGCGAATGCCTCTCACCCGGTATTCTTTATTTACTCCAATTCGAAGGGTTCTTGTATTTTCCAATATTTTTCTTTTCTAAGTAACACATGTGGCCTGTGAGACCAAAGTGAGGTGCAATGCTCAAATATACACTCATTGTTTACAACACAATAACTGCACAAACATTATCACTATTAGATCATTTATAAAACTTTTTTACACAAACAATACAAAACATTGTTTATTACTATTGTTCTATAATATATATACATATGTACAGTCACTGAACACTTTCCTAGAACGAGAAAAAAATAGAGATTTACTGTTATGCAATATTGTAATAATTGTATAAATAATATCAGCACATTTGTGAACATATATTAGACCCACCAGCAGGCGTGTATTAGACTTGTGAACATCAGCAAAAATTTAACATTTCTGCTACTTTGAGCTGTTTCAAGCCATTTCCAGTACTAAAACCAATAAAAATCATCTCTATTTCTGTAATATGTCTTCCATTCTATCAAATGAGACCAAGAAATCACAAATACTAAAACTATAAAAAAAAACATACGAGAAAACACTGCAGTCACTGTTTTAATCGAAAATTACGGTCTCAGTTTTTTTTCTCTCATTATGCACATGTGCTGCAGGATTTGTTTTATGTGGTGCACATACCACATATGTATATGTATTCTCTCGTATCAGGCCAAAATTTAACGCTCACAGCTTATCAGTGAGCTGAGCTCATGATGTAGATCTACGGTTTGGCCCCTCAACGTAAAGCTGTAGATCTACGGCACGGACCCTCAAGGGGTTAAATTCACTTAGACAAAAATAAAAGCAAAATGCTATGCACAATTACCAGTAAATACTGTCTTAATTAAACAAAGATATGACAATTTTGAAGTGAAGAATTTTAAAGGGTAAGCAACTTTCCTTGCTTCTTAGGAATATGAGCCACTAATAAGTACATGTTAATAAGCATTTATAATAAACATTTACATTTAACTCCACGGCAAAGTGGAAAAGAATTTTTCCTCTGCAAGCCATGTGTGTCTAAGAGGCAATTAAAACACCAGGAGCAAGGGGCTAGTAACCCCTTCTCCTGTATAAATTATTAAATTTAAAAAGAAAAACTTTAATTTTTCTTTTTAGGTCACCCTGACTGTGGGATATGGCCAGTTAAAAAAAATACATTTAAATCAGTCTTAACATTTACAATGTTGTACTGTAATCAAGAACTAACATTTGCATAAAGGTATGGAGATGTAATAAAATCTGAATTACCATTACTCAATCAATTTTTAAAAAATAATCGACTATAAATTATATTTTTCGGCTCTCAAGTACAATATACAGTATAAATTTCATCTAAATCAAATGGAATCATTTGTAAATATCTCTGTAATAAATCATTTCTAATAATTTTAAAAATGACCTTCTGTAACTTTCACAAACTTATAAATTTAAAATAAGATGGTTTAATTATTAGTAACATTCTAACGTTTATGACCATAACACTAACCTTTTCACGCTTCAACTGATCATCATATTCTCTACGTTTTTGAGTGTCCCCAAGAATATGCCAGGCTTCCGTAACTTTCAAAAATTTATCCTTGGCACCTTCCACACCAGACTTGTCTGGATGATACTGCCGTGCTAATTCTTGGTACTGGCGGCGAATTTCAGTTTCACTAGCATCTTGTCTCACACCCAGGACATCATACAAAGTCATCTGCAAGAATGTACAGTCCCTAATGATATGGGTAAGTACTGTAATTACTATTATGGTACTACCTTCAGGTCAGATGTTTTGTAGTCACAGGAGTATCGATTCACTCATTAGGTGTCCACCTTCCTTTCCATATACTGTAATGCTATTAGGTTACTTCAATTTCTGTTTTCAAAAATCAAAGTAACAAATTATACAAAAATAAAAGCAAACTTTGAAAACAAGTTTGTGGAAGTTAATAAATGAACTAAACCCAGATGTAGTAAAAATTCCTAATCTCAGTTTATCCTATAGTATGTCTTTCTTTTTACCACAAGCTATTTCTCACCATAATTACCAATCATGTTTTATAAAACTTAGAAAAATTAATTAGTCAACTAAGGTTTATTCCAGTATGATATAACTGATAATTTTATTATTGCAGTGAAAACTAGAGCTAATACGACAGTACAGGGCAATCAAAATGAGAGTAACAAAGAACTAGAGTGAAGAAAGACTAATATTTAATATGCACAGTGACCAGCAACCAGCCAGGGAGATATTACTGTCATGTCATGCGAGTGTGAAATGGAACCCTATTTTGTACTGACAGGATTGCTGGTCTTATCTTTCCATCCCAAACATGCAAGGTGGGAAAAATCTTACGAACATCAACTTGCACTCGCAAATCTCTGAGCTTTTATTTCCTGTTACCTAGTCTTTATTTTATTAATATTATCTATTTAGTTAATGAGGCCTAATGAGGGATTATAAACTGTGCAAATAATGACAAATGAAAGATTCTTGATAACACACCACCAATAAACAAGATTACGATAAATAGAACTGAATCACAGATGGATCAAGACATTAGATTTGAGTCTAATGTTACAAGGTAGAGGAAAATGGGTGTGACATGTATGCCGATGTGAAAGCTTTTGAGGGAACACTGAATAAATGTGTTTGTGGAGCAGGTCACTGAAGGTAATTTATCACTTTCTCTGCTGTAAAGAACTTTCATCCAACAAGGAAAGCAATTCATAGATCCCTGTGGAATGAACACAGTGTAGCACTAAATCTGCCGAGTTATCTGAAGGTTACCTGAATATGATTTTAGGGGGTCACCATCTTCATAGCCAAGTCCCAGACCAGGCCTCCTAGTTTATGGCCTGATCAACCAGGGTGCAGGTGCTTGTTGCATGCAATCCAATGTATGTACCACAACCCAACAGATCCAGGGCCAAAAAAAATTTAATATTTTCAATAAAAATCTTAAAATAACAGTTTGCACATGAAATACTTGTACATGAAATTCTATGGTATACACAGGTTGTATGCATTGTAAAATTTAATGTCGAGTCCTGCCAAGTAGATGATTTTACTCCGATTATTAACCCAGAGAGTTAGTAACCAAGGATAGCCCAATAGCCAGTTTGTTATTGAGAACCGTCTTATTTTCATTGGGGTTCTAAAATCCTAGGAGATTCATTGGCGACTTGCCATTCAATGGATTTTCAGTTGTTGCCCGAAAATTATAATGGAGACCCAGTATTCACTGGGGACATTGTAGTTTCAGGTAACTTAGTAGAGGCTGGTGATTTATTGGTTACTGATGGAGCTTGGAGCTGTTGTCATTCTGACAAAGTGGATTAGACCTCCTGGGGACACTACTTTTAAAAAAATACAAGCCATGATGTCTACCTCTACAAAAACTGACTGAAGGCACTGAATGTGCACTCTGTGGAAAGGCATAGAGTTACGGGGGATTTTTGACTGAAATGTACAACAGGAATAAAGAGGATATAAAAAAAAAAAGTGTTGAAAATATCTAAACCAAGTCAAGACTTGTAGCAATTTAAGTTAGAAAAATTCAGATTTAGAAAGAATATAAAGGAGTACTTTTTTAGCAATAAAGTTTTAAACGAGTGTAACAAACTTGTAGTTAGTGTCATTGGGCATGTAAGTCGAATAGTTAAATGGGTGTGAGTCAGGCCTGCCTAGCATGGGATAATAGGTCTATTGAAGTGTTCCTTTATTCCTATGTTCTCTTCCCAGGGATGTGACCCACACCAGCAGCCTAACACCCGGGTACCTACTTACTGCTAGGTGAACAGAGGCAGCATGTGTAAGGAAACATGCTCAATGCTTTACCCCATACCAGAGGAAACACTGATCCCTTAGTGTCTGAGCTGAAGATGCTATTAACCCAGTCATTAACTACAGCCATTTATCTTGTGTCAAGGTGCAGCACTCTTCACACATTTAACCATGCAGAAAGGTCAGGGATCACTACCAAGGTATCCCACAAGAGCAAAGTTGTACGATTTTCAAGGACCCCCAATGATAATAAGTCACTGTCTTTTTTGGGTTATCCTAGGTAATTTACACTATGTATTATAATTGTACTTATGTATACCTCTGACTAAATAAACTTACCAACCACTTCACGGACTGTGTTTCGAGCAATAGTTGCACTTGCTGTTTTCACTGCTAACTTATACATGTTAATAACCATAAGAAAGTAATAAATATCCTCAGTGTCACGATAAAATTAACCAATCATCATATTAGGCTTAAACTACCAAGCCATCTGTTCTATTACTAATGACAGCACTGAGAACCTTTAATAAAAGAAGCAAGTATTAAACTCATGTATTCCAGTTATCGTTTTCACCGGTGGTAAATGGATAAAATAAACAAGACAAAAAAATTTTTAAGAAATCGGCAGCAGCCGCCTTCATTAAATATCCAGCCATACCCTCCCTAGCGAGCACCTTTCACCCCCTGGAAACAGGCGAAACTTAGCCCCCTTGAGAGCAGCAGCAGCGCAGCAGCACCTAGCAGGTGAGCAGAGCAGCAGTGTGGAGTTACCGTAGAGGAGTGAGAGGTGGAGTGGTAAGGGGAGCAATAATGACTGCTGGTTACTGATGGAGGATTCACTCGACCTCTTTGTTTACGTCTCGGCCATCTCTACACTGCTGCCACACTTGTCTCCCAACACACCCTTCCTTAACACACCTCTATATTACCCAGTAATTAACTATCAATAAACCACAGTCGGGATTTAATACTACATTATTCGCATATTTTAATTTTAAAGGCAAAGTGTTTGTTTTACGGTTAAAAATCAAGTTAAAATACCCATGAGTAACAACTTACCTGGTACACTGCAGGTGTGTAACCGTTTTCTTTTGAAATACAGAATAACTAAATTATCTATCTTATCCCAATAGATTTATTTCTTATATACTGAAAATTTCGTAGTTTAAAGCCAAAGGAAGATTTTCATGGTTAAAGATGACGTGGCACATAATATAGATGGAAGAGAGGGTGTCCACGAGCTGCTCCTCAACAAGTAAAGAGAACGGGAACACACAACTTCAAGTCCACTAAACTGAAAGGCAAAAAAAAAAAAAAAAAAAAAAAAGAGTATTAAAAAAAAATATATATGTAAGCTTTCTATAACAACAACGAGTTTGGAGGCTCGTGACCGCCATTTGGTGGTAACAAAGATATTATAAATAGAAGTGAAAGGATGGTCTTGCAGTCTACAGCAGCCGCAGCTGGGACAGTAGATAATATACGTATTATTATTATTATTATTATTATTATTATTATTATTATTATTATTATTATTATTATTATAATAATGAATCACAAGATACCATGCTTCAAGATCCTCTCAAGGGAGACGCTTTGATGCCAGTGAGGGGCTCTTAATCCAAGGAATTTGACTTGCCTTGCCCTTGGATTAAACCTGAATGTTTCATATGGACTACATGACCCCTATGAGTTTAGTGCTTTTCCATAAAAATAATATATTGTTTCAAGATTTATAACACTAAAAATGAACGCAAAAAGAAGCAGCTGAAAGTCTAATTCCATTGGATAGTATACAAACAAAATGTATTTCGGTTGCTGCTCTGAGCGAGGCATCCTTTGTTTCTGACCATGAGCTGTAGCTCAGCATTCAAGAGAAAGAGCCAGTTGTATCTCAGTGCATGAGGTCCGGTTAGGGATCTATTGGTAATCCCACTTTATATAAGTATTATGGAAGGTTGTTGAATAGTCTTGGGCCCCTTGGACTTACTGTGTTGTTTCTCGGTGTATTCGTGTCACCTCCACTTTTCCATGTTCCAAGGAGTACAGGTCAAGGGATTTCAAATGTTCCCAGTAATTAAGGTGCTCAGCTAAACTTACGTGTGCAGTGAAGTTCTCTGTACATTCTCTAGAGCTGCAAATTCGCCTGCCTTGAAAGGGACTGTTGCTCTTAACCTCTGATGTATATACCAGGACATATGTGACTAGTTACTTTTAGCTGGGGGCAGAACGAGCGAGTTTAAGAAAGCCAGGAATGGCATGAGAAGAGAGTGATCTGAGAGAGTCAGAGAGTCAGGAAGAGTTCTCGTAGGCTGCAGTTTTCTCAAGAGACTGGGAGAGCAAAGTGTAAATACCAGAAGAGTCAGGAAGATAACGTGATTCAGTGTTACGTGGATAGTGGTGAACCAGTGTGTTAATCAACTCATGGCCCAGTACCAGTGTGTACCTCTACCAGGGTCACTCAACTGCTCTATCCTCTCTAAATTCCAAAACCACGTCAAACTCTCTTCATCCCTATGAATTATTCTTTTGGTAACTCCACCTTCCTAATTCTGTGCATGATATTCACACCAGACGTCACACTCAAACATGACATCCTCACTATCTCTTATTGTTGCAGCATCTCAAGTCCATGCTTCACGCCCATGTAACAGTGTTGGTACCATTATACTCTGCACACTCGGGCCTTTGCTTTCATAGATAGCTTTTTTGTCTTCATAGATGCTTCAACGCACCATTTTTGTTTCCCCTCCTCGTCTATTTTATTGTTCACATCTTTCATAGACCTATTTGCCTGCGGGAACACATCCAAATATCGGAATACATTAACTTCCTCCTATATGATATATCCAATCTTTCATTGCCTAGATATTTTCTTACATTCATCACCTTGCTCTTTCTTATGCTTACTTTTAATTTCCTTATATGATGACAATTCTGAGATCGCTTGTGAAGGTCGGGAGTGTCTGCTCGTCTCTCCTACTCTCCATGCATTATTGATCGTCCTGTTATGTGGGCCACTTGGTTTCAAATTTTCTATTGCTCAGGCAAGCCTGATAACCATCACATGATGGCTGGTCATCCCACAGCCTATTTTATACCTGCATGAACATAAGAAGATAATAGTGTAGTATTGCAAGAGGCCTACTGGCCCATGATAGGCAGGGCTACTCACACACACTCCTGTCCAAACTATTTTTAAAGTTACGTAAAGTTTTCGCGTCACTGACGCAAATTGGTAGTTTGTTCTACTCATCCACAAGTCTACTGCCAAACCAGCCACTGTCTCTTGTTCACAGACTATCAGCTGTCGCTAATATAGTGCTTCCCTAATCCATCACGAGATGGTTGACATAAGTTATTACAGAACGGAGGCTACCAGACACAGTTATTACATTAGTGGTGTACAATACCGACTAGTTGACGTATAAGACACACGTACAATACCTGGGTATCCTTGTGAGGACGTCTTCGCAGTGAAGCCAGGAAGGTGCAACACAGGTGTCTCCTTCGTCAGAGACAAACATGTCAAGGCTAAGAGCTTTAGAAAAAATGCGAGAAATGGATGAACACATAACATTGTTATATCAAGTACTGTGAAGTGAGAAGAGGTAAACAGTAACTTAAAAAAAATACATTGAACACAAGATGCAATCCAATAATACCACAGGTCGGAGGATAGGCGACTCGTCTTGTATGAGAACAGAAAGCAACGTGAAATAATTCGTCCCTTGGTCAGGTCACAAGGTCAAGTATGAAAGTAATAAAACAGAAGGTTAATTAAGAAGACCTCCAAGTCACCAGGCGAATCAAACCCAGTGTGGTTGTTTTATGTGGGTTTGAAGTCCATCGACTACACGAGGGGTCATCAGAACTACCTCTCTACCTCACACCACCATTCAATAACAGTCTTGGTCCAGACGAACTAGACTAAGATCGAATCTGAATGCCTCACGTTCCATGGGCGCTATGTGATTCTGCTACATACGGGTTTAGTGCTTTCCTCTCTCCTACCAACTGCACCAGGGTCATCAGGTCTACCAACTGCACCAGTATCATCAAGCCTACCAACTGCACCAGGGTCATCAGGTCTACCAACTGCACCAGTATCATCAAGCCTACCAACTGCAGCAGGACCATCAAGCCTACCATTTGCACCAGGGTCATCAGGTCTACCAACTGCACCAGGGCCATCAAGCCTGCCAACTGCACCAGGGTCATCAAGTCTACCACCTGCACCAGGACCATCAAGCCTACCAACTGCACCAGGCTCATCAGGTCTACCAATTGCACCAGTATCATCAAACCTACCAACTGCACCAGGACCATCAAGCCTACCAAGTGCACCAGTATCATCAAGCCTACCAACTGTACCAGGGTCATCAAGTCTACCAACTGCACCAGGACCATCAAGCCTACCAACTGCACCAGGGTCATCAGGTCTACCAACTGCACCAGGACCATCAAGCCTACCAACTGCACCAGGACCATCAAGCCTACCAACTGCACCAGTATCATCAAGCCTACCAACTGCACCAGTATCATCAAGCCTACCAACTGCAGCAGGGTCATCAAGCTTACCAACTGCTCCAGGGTCATAAGGCCTGCCATCTGCACGAGGATCAGACTTCATCCGAGGAAGGGGAAGGTAGCTCCAGTTCCTTGAATCAAGAGCCCTCTAACAGCGGGCATTGCACTATCATAGCTCTGGCCACAGCCAATTGAAACTCCGGTTTTCCCACTGGCGAAGACGCTACCAATGAGAATCTCGATTTAATTTATGGCGTCAAGAAACCAAAGAACGAAATCAATCAACCAATCAGCAGCCCTCACGTCACTTAGGATTAGCCAATCAGAACGCGCGTGGCAATCTACATCACCCTGTGGTGAGGGAGAAGATTGCGCGCGAAATCTGCGGCGTCTGTGATGCGCAGAGAAGATGGCGTGTGGTTGCCAACTGCTCTGATAAGCTTTTTTTCGTATTTTGCTGTAAATTGCTGGTTATTTACACTTAACAAGGCTTTTTACGTGATATTGTAGTCACTGTAGCATATGTGCGAAGCTGTAGAACTGCCATATATGTAGGAATTATTGATATTTACTGAGTTTCCAAATCGAACTTAATTTACTGACACCATTTGTATTTCTTGCAGGAAAGTGTATAATAATAATAATAATAATAATAATAATAATAATAATAATAATAATAATAATAATAATGATAATGATAATAATAATAATAATAATAATAATAATAATAATAATCTTTATTTCTACCAGTACATGTACAAGGTATACAGACCATAGCTGACATCAGTGACATACTACTATATAGAAAGTCCCTTATTATGAGGAGTATTTTGGGCAAATTAGGTCAATTTTGTCCCCAGGATGCGACCCATACCAGTCGACTAACACTCGGGTACCTATTTTACTGCTAGGTGAACATGGACAGCAGGTGTCTTAAAAAAACACGTCCTAAAGTTTCCACCCGTACCGGGGATCGAACCAGGACAGTGACTGTTACTCATTACTGATGTTAATATTTTTTTGACTAGTCTTCAGTGTGTTGTGTCAGTGTCATAATCATCATCAAGGTGTCTGCTGCCCTCCTGAAGGAAAGTCCTCTTGCCCATGGTGAAAGGATCTTGATCCGAGGAATTTGAGCTTTTTAGAGTTGTATCACTTATGGTTTATAGTCTGGTGAGTATATTTCAGTACTGTCTTTTATATATGTAAGGTAAGTTCTACCTCTGTTATGTCACTAAGGTTTATTTTAATATTTCACAGCAATAATCTGATAACAACATACTGTACTCAAGAGAAATTTAGCTCCATTAATATTCTCGAGAATTTTATCATATATTTTGTCTAATACTGGC